TATATATATATATATATATATATATATATATATATATAATATCTTTGAATATTTTTCAAGAACCTTTGTTAGATGATAGACCCAAGCCCTATCTAGACCTGAACCGGGTCGAGTCCTGGTCCAAAATCCTAGATCCAAGTTGGGTCCAAGTCAACCCAGACCTAACTTGGCCTATTGCGACCCCTATCTGGAGTTGATTCGAATGTTCTTGCAAACTAGTTGAACCTGGCTATGAGAGATCGCGACACCCCAGAGTATGTAGCGTTGGAGGTTCCCTTTGGTAGTCACCCGGATGCATCAGTGTGATCCTTGTGCCAAACTATAGTTTGCCAAAGGTGGCGAAGTGCCGTCACCATTTACATAGTAGTCCTACTGAACACTAAAATTACCCAATCTTAATAAGGATTGGGCAGACAATTCTTGTCCCATGCCACTAGGTGGAATTTGTGGGTCTTCATTGCCCCCAACCCCAGAGAATTCCTCACAAGATGCTGCAATTGATTCACTATAGGTGCAAGCATCTAAAAAGACATTTGGTAAATAACGATTTAAGAGGGTTGCTTTGATGAGAGTTATTAGGTTGGGTTGACATGACCTGATAAGCAGCCCTAGAGCACAGTCATGGGCACCTTTGTTTTGTATGAAACATGAGACAGAGAGAGAGAGCAGGGTAATGCACCTACTATAAATTACATCACCCATATCTACACCCATTCATCTTTCCATGATGGGCACCTTTCAATGTTACCTAGTACCATCCTTAATTGCCCAATGGATACGCAAAAACATAGAATAACTTTTTCCTATATTTTCCATTCCCTATCTCATCGCCTCCTCTCTTTGCATATTTCTCTAAAATGACACCTTCCTCTTTGCCATCGAGGGGACACAACAATCTGGCTCAAAAAGTTTCATCATTTCTAAAATATGTAAACCTCCTGAACTCTTAATCCTGGGTGGTCCCATGTTCATTCATCAGAAAAAACAGAAAAATGGCATTATAAAAAATAATTTTTCCCTACAAAAAACCACCATCCCAAAGAGAAATAATGAAAGGCCACTACCTTTGATTGCCCACAGAGGACTTCTTGCAACGATCTAGTAAATGGCTCCCACCAAAAGAATTGAACAATGAACCCCAAAATCTTTCACTTCCATGAATTAGAAAGATGCATTCATCCATGTAGGCCCCCTAAGTACATCTTGGTGGTCATATCCAAGAAATATATTGCAAGCAATCGGGGAAAAGAGTACTCCTAAATAGCTAATATGAAAGGGAAGATGTTCCACCTTTGGGGGATAGAGAAAAAAGAGGTTTTTTCTTGGGGCATCATAAAAAAATAATTTTTCCCTATAAAAAACCACCATCCCAAAGAGAAATAATAAAAGGCCACTACCTTCGATTGCCCACAGAGGACTTCTTGCAACGATCTTGTAAATGGCTCCCACCAAACGAATTGAACAACAAACCCCAACATCTTTCACTTCCATGAATTAGAAAGATGCATTCATCCATGTGGCCCCCTTGGTACATCTTGGTGGTCATATCCAAGAAATATATTACAGGCAATCAGGGAAAAGAGTACTCCTAAATAGCTAATATCAAAGGGAAGATGTTCCACCTTTGGGGGATAGAGGAAAAAGAGGTTTTTTCTTGTGTAGTCATAAGGGCATTTTGACAAAAAGATAATTTCAAAATGTCAAGTTCTGTTCTGAACAGTGGTGTGTCAAGCTGACACACCATTCACTTATTAACAAGTCTAAGAAAGAAATATTTCTACAGCCAAAAACCTGTGCAACCAAGGGCAGTGATTTCATGCAACGGTTGTATCATAGTATAATGCAACGACACTTCTAGAAAACCATGTTTGTGGTATTTGTATGACACACACACTCTCTTCATCTCAATAATCCAATCCAAAACAAGAAAAAAATTCAATTTGAAACCTAGATATGGTCAAAATGGGTCATCTCCAAAAACAAATCTAGACCATTTATTGGGTGAATTTCAATATCTTAGCCTTTATAAACTCAAAATCATTTTTTTCTTTTTTAACATTGTTCATCTGATGATAATAAATCCATCCAAAAAAATTGGAAATGAAAAAATCTTTCTAAGGCCTAGATTTAAGCATTTCAACAAAATGAACGGCCTATGTTAATTGGGCTAAAAAAAATACTTTCTAGGTTGTGTTTTCCAATTTTTCTTTTTTGTGATTGTTCATTAGAATGAAAAAAGTTTATATTTCAAAATTTGGATCAAACAAATGGCCATACCATGGTTTTTAAAGGTTGTTGCATCATATTACTATACAACTGTTGCATGAAATCATTGCTCGTGCATCCAAACGGGTCCCTAATAATTATCGATAAATAGAAGCAAAGTGGTCAAGAAACCATCAAGCCCGTGACATCATGGGCTCAAATCTGAAAGGTCAAGAACCTTCTTTCCAACAGAATATGATGATGAACAGATTGGTTTCAACATGTTCCTCTACCGAAACATTTGGAAACTTCTCCTTCACTATGCATCGAGATTAGAAATTGATCGATCTTATAATCACAGGATCAGCTTGCTTATTAGTCCTGTAAATTAGGAGTGCTAAGGATAAGATTTTATTTTATTTTATTTTGATAAAGTTAACATTGTATTGTTGTAAAGAGAGAGAGTACACAGAAGAAGGGGGGGGCGGAGGAGTGCTAAGGATGAGATTAATCAAAACTATTCTCATTAATGAAAGCCTAGAAGCGCAACATCATCTAAGGGACATCCATCAAAACCATTTATGTTACAATTTTTCCCATCATTGAATCTGCTTGACAATCTATTGGAACAAAGGCATTTAGGTTACACTAATCAAGCCATTGAAACCAATAAGAGAAGAAGCACATCATCATAGCAATCTACCACAGCCCAATTTCTCATAAGAAAAAAAATAAGCACATGGAAGTCATTGTCAAAATACACATGAATATTTCCCAGACCCTTTTTAGCATTCAAACAACAATAACCTTCCAACATTTCCTTCAAATCCTCCCCTCCTTCCCTTATAGTCTGGAAATAGTCCACTTCTTTTAAGTATTTGCATTTAGCTTCACTGGTTTCACTCCCATAACCACAATCATCACCCTACTTGTGTTTCCCTTTCTATTTTTCATTTTACTCCCTGGTTCAACTTTCTTTAAGGTAATGAACCCTCATAATAATGCATACTGCAGATATCAAGCTAGTGTTCTGATGCTCATCATCTTATACATTAAGTCACCTTATCATACTCTATTTCAATTAAATCACGAAAAGATTGGTAAATCCATGCCAACAACAGGGGTTTCCTTCTACTAACCTCAACTTAAACCTAAGGATTTCCATTATTAATGTAACCCAATCACACTCAATCTCAGTAACTCATCAGTTTTTTTTTTTTTGGTAATTCAGTGGGGATGACGAGTCCCTACCTGTTTTTGAAATCGTTAGTGATTTTTTAATGTGTTAGGTGAGCATGGAAGCCTAGACCTTAGCTGGGGCACAAGTGGTGCTACCACCACAACCCCAACCCCATTCTCCTCAAAAACTCATTAGTTGAAACTAGTTAAGTGCAGATACCCTTTGTCATCTGCTTTCTTGTTGAAAGATAACTGTAAGGAAGAGTACTGTACAGCATCCTACTTATTATAGAAAGAAAGGTAAAGTTTTATCAGAAAAGAAACAGTGCTCATTCTTGCAACTAAGGCAAAATCTTAGTAGAAAAGACAGAAATTTAAAATGGATACATACACTGTAAACAAGTTGAACCATCAAACACCATACGGGAGACAGTCCCAGTCCAAACTTCCCTTTAAGATGGTTTATGATGCAAAAACGCAATCAATTGTGAATATTAATATCAAAATCGGGCACTTACCGTGATGCCCCATATCAACATTAAGGTAAATTAAATAATGAAATCTCACCTCATTTTCATCGCATTCCAGTCAGCTTCTGCAGAAGCCGCAATGGACGCCATTGCCTGCAGATTATGATAAAAAATAACATAATCAATAAGAGTAACCATATAAAACCTTTGAGACTCTTGTATGAGCAAAGAACGACTCAGATATGGAGAAAAAAAGCAGGAACAAAAGGATTAAAGGAGGTAGAGAGACAAAAAGAGGGACCTCTTGGACTCTGAGTGAATTGAGCTGGCGGTCTTCGACATGGTCAGTAAGCTTGTCTAGGGCTTTGCTCTGCTGCTGCAAGTCTTTTGAGTCCTCCTCTACAACTTCCATCTCTCTCTCCTCTCACCTGATCTTCTGTAAACCCCGTAAACCCCAGAGAGATGCAAACGCAAAACCTATAAAACCCTAGATAGTTGATGCACAGGCAAAAGCCCCACGAATCTCACACGCACGCCCTTAAAAATAACTTAGTTGAGCGCTTCAATTCAACCATTTTGTCGATAAATTTATCTGGTTTAACCATTCCCTAATCGTAAAAATGGTTGAATTGACGCGCTCAACTCATCCGAATCGTTAGTTCATCTAATCTGGTATATCCATTCGGACTAGGGAGTTGTCAATCCGGTTCTGGAATATGGCCATTTTTCTGGATGAGAATAGGTAAATAAGAAAATAATAAATAAAAATAATAAAAATATAAATCATGGGAATCGGGTGATCCGAAACACCTAATTTTTTGACAAATTAGCCGAGAGGACCAACTTGATTCCCAATTCACTAATAATCGGGTTAGTTCCCACCGATATCTAATCTAGATTGATGATTTTCGACCCAAGACGGTGGGTTTTGAACCACTTATGCCATGTATATTTTTTCTGGATTTGGAATCAAACCTAAACATGGATAATTTGGATCTACCTAAGTGGCAAGCTGAATGATGTAAATTTTATGCTTGTTATGGGTTTCAATTTCAGAACATGCCTTGATTATAAAATATCATTTTATGGGTTTCGAACCTTGAACGATCGGGAGTATATATTATTTGGCTTGTTTGTGGTTCAAACCAAATGATGAATATCTCCAGCTCGTTCCAAGTTCCAAATTGGGAATATATAATTTTTTTTATTCAAATACTTAAGTTGGGATTGCAATTTGAAACAAGAAGTGGTATTTTTTTTATAATTGACCCTATGGACTAATTTATTAAAGGGTGAGATCTGTATAAGGTTACAACTTTAACAATCAAAGTAAGGTGCACCTTCAAATTCTGTCGTAAGATGTAATTTTCATCACTCAAGTTTTATCTCAATTATTTGAGGTCGGGACTGTACAATTTTGATGTAATTTTTTTTAGGAAGGTTCGAAAATCTATTTTTACCTTTGATTATCAATTTTTAAACTTAAAAAATAGTTTAAATCAAGTAGTCTATAAACTCATGAAAAATCTTAAAAGCAAATGGTCTAGATAATATGTTGGAAGATGCACTATTTTTGGGATTTGAAACGTTTATATTTTTCCATATTCATATATCTCGATGTCAAGATGATCAAACAGATGATTTTCCAATGTCAAAATAGCCCTTTTTGATGGATTTTTTAGGTGAACCTAATTCTATAAATTTAAGGGGTCAACCTTATATGAATATTTTCCTTTTTTAAAAATACCCCAATTTTTTCAAAATGAAAAATTTTTATATGTAAGTGTCAACCTTATATTGTCGACGTAAGGTATGCTCAAAATACATTGGAAAAAGTTGTTTTGATGTTGGAGAGTCCTCAAATTGATGATCTTGACCTCAGGATATGTAGATATGGCAAAAAAAAGACAAAGATTTCAAGTCATTACCTAGACCATCAATTTTCAAACTTTTCAGTTATTTATAAATTGCTTGGCTTATACTAATTTGGAGTTTTAAATTTCATGATCAGATGTAAAAATGGACTTTTCAGGCTATCCTAGAAATTTCTAACACCCAAATTACATCTCTCAAGCAAGGTTCGCCTTACTCTGAGGTTACAAACTGGACCCTTTCAATAATTGGCTCTAAACATGAACATTTTGGGTATTTTAACAAGTATATTAGATGAGGTACTCGAGTAAAGTGATCTTATTTACCATTTTGTTGAAATGAAAATGCATAGTACAATTTTAGTAAAAGAGAGTAACAAAAATAGTGATCATATTTACCATTTTATTGAAAAGGAAATGCATAGTTACATTAATTTTAGTAAAAGAGAGTGACAAAATTGCCCCTTAGACAAACATATGGGAACTAGGTGAATGACAATATTTATGTTTTTCTTTTTTTGTTAAGTGAATGATAATATTGCCCTTATATAAGAATATTGCCCTTATTTGGTTAAGTGAATATTGCCCTTTTTTATGTTTTTCGTTTTTGGTTAAGTGACTGATAATATTGCCCTTATACAAGAAAGAAGATATAGCATGTAGGCCAAGCAGAAATGCGGGTCCCTTAATAAATCTATATTTAAGATGGATTTTTGGACTTAATTTTTAAAAAAGTATGTAATCTCTAACATAGAGATCATGAATATGAAAAAATAAATAATTTTTTAAAACTAAAATAATAATTCTATTAAAAAAATATTTGGACCTTTAGTTTCAATTGTTTTTGATAGACAACAAAGATGGATGCTTTATAATTTTGGACAACATATGTAGAAATGCAATTCATCACGCATGAAACGATTTTCCGTAACACAACGCATAACAAGCTTGTGGAAATGGAGCTGGTTCTTTTAAAGGACTTCGAAGTCTAAAAGGTCTTGGGTCTAACACAAGCACATGTTGGCCTTTAGATGATAATGTATAGTTTATAAGTTTCAATTGTCATATGCATGGATTTCAATGGAAAATCTCTAAGTTTTTCTTGACTCTCTCTCGATTTTGGACATAATTTCTATGAGTCCATGTATAAATGAGTCACCTCTTAAAAATCTATTTTTGAGATGGATTTTTAGACTTAAATTTTAAGGATGTGTAATCTTCAACATAAAGATCATGAGTATGAAAAAATAAATGAATTTTGAAAAATAGAAATAATAATTCTATTAAGATAAGGGTAATGATCCTCTGAGACCCTCCCACACCCATGTGTATGTAGGATCCCAAATGAGTATCATTAAATTTGACACAGATCTAAAAGTTATTATATGGGTGTGGGACTTGACTTTTTTAGATATCTGTTCTAAATTTAATAGTGATCCTTTGGAATTCTACACACATGATTGTGTGAGGGTCTCACAAGGTCATTTCCCTTATGGACAGTTAGTTTTAATTGTTTTTAGATGGACTACCTATTTGAAGATGGATGCTTTATACCTTGAGACCGCATATTGTGGAAAAGCAGTCCTGCCCGCATGAAACAATTTTCCATCTATTTTAACCTCCATAAGCGTAATTGCTAGATAAATGTGTATTTGTCAAACTGCTGGACAATATTATCCTGTTTCTCTTCCGTCAAGTTTATGGCCCACTTTCTGGCCCGATATCAAAAGGCAAAACCATAACAAACGAATGCAAACTGCCCCAAGTACAAGGCCAGTAATTGCGTGAATATGAAAAGCCCATACCCAGAGTATTTGAGTTTTTGGTGCTTGCTAATGGCACGTGCAGGTGCTAAGAAATCAGAAGAAAAGTGACTTTTTTTATATTTATATTAAATAAAGTCAATAAATTTAATTCAATTTAATTTTTTATATTACTTTTACATATCTTTTTTTTTGTTTGTATTTATTTTTAGGAAAAATTTCGTATAGATTCCTAATTCCCTATCGTATTTCATTGTAGACTCTTTTTCTATTTTTCTTTCAAGTGCCACAAAAAATCTCTCAAGTTTTTCAACATACTCCATTATCTCCTCTCCCACGTTTATTCACTTTTGACAACAATAACTAGCCCCAATAAATTATTTTATACCATCTCAATCCAAAAACTTTTTTAACCCCCTATTTTGCATCTTTGTTAAACTCTCTCTCACTCTTGTGCACACACACGTGCGCATACACAATTTAAACACAATCGATTTCTTCTTCTTCTTTTTTTTGGCAAAGTCAACACATAATTGAAAAAGTACAAAATAAGGTTAAAAAAACTTTCGGATTGAGATGGAATAAAATAATTTGTTGAGACTAGTTTTTATGGTAAAAAATGAATAAACCGGGGAGAGAAGAGATGATGGGGTACGGTGAAATACCTGAAGGTTTTTTAATGCCACTTGAAAGAAAAATAGAAGGAAGGTCTACCGTGAAATAAGATGGAGAATTAAGGGCCATGTACGAAATTTTCCCTTATTTTTATTTTCTATGTTATTCTATTTTCATGTGTCGTTATCATCTAATTTTTCTCACTTAAATTTTTTTTTTATGGTCAGCTCATTATGGTCCACGTTTGTGGAAAAATTGGATCTCGATACAACTGAAACATTTATGAAAGGAAAAAGCCTTGAAATATAGATTTAACAGTGCACCTAAAAAATCCATCATAAAATGTCGTTTGGATGTTGAAAAACCCTCCAATAAATCATCTCGACATCGAGATGTATGAATATAAAAAAAGGGTGCAGTCGGCATATTGATGCATCCGTAGCTGTAGATGCAAGGCGCACCTTCAAATTGTATCATGATAGATAATTTTGATGTGAAATGTTATTAGGATTTCTGAAAATCTATTTTTATATCTAATTATAAAATTTTAAATTTAAAAAATGGTTAAATTTAAGTAGATCTATAAACATATGAAAATCTTGAAAATGGACGGTGTAGATAATATGTTGTAAAATGCATTATTTCTGAGACTTGAAATTTTTTTATTTTTTATGGTCATACATCTCGTTATTGAGATGATCAATCAAAGGTGTTTTCAACATTAAAACTGTCTTTTCTGATGGATTTTTGAGGTGCATGTGTAGTTATACATTATAAGATTGCATTCTTATATAAACTTTTTCCTAAAAAGAAAAAAGATTTCAAGTCCGTGAAATAGTATATCTTGTAACACATTATCTAGACTGTTCATTTTAGTATTTTCATGTGTTTATAGATCTTCTAGATTTGAACTATTTTTAAAGTTTAAAATTTTATATTGAGAGATGAAAATAGAATCTCAAACCATATTAAGAATTTTGTATATCAAAATTATATTTATAATAAAATTTAGAGGTACACCTTAATTGGAGTGTTTAAGGTTGCAAACTTATGCAAATCACACCCTTAAAGAAAAGGGGGGCGATTTATATTTGGGGCAAATTTTGTCATTAATATTAAAATAGCAAAATAAATATTTTTAAGAGGAGAGATTGCAAGAGCAAGTGAATACATCATAATTAGATAAAAATAGAAAGAGTGAGATTATAAAAAAGGGAAAAATTTCTATGTTCTTCTTATAATATAGAAGTTCTAACATCTCCCTACCATCCAACCGTCTATTTTTTATCAAGAGAGCCATTCACCGTTTGATCTTAGATCCGACGTCTCAAAGTATTTTATTTTTAATTTTTTTTAATACAAATTTTCTGATTATAAAATTTAGTACGTGTCATCTTCTCATTGGAGTGCACCTATAAAAAATATTAACAATAATTTTTCGATAAAAAATAATGACCAAAATACCCCTTAAATTTTCAAGTGTATTTTGGTGATTTTATTTTATTGAAAATACTTTTTTTATATATATTTTTCGTTAGTGGGAGTTTAATAGAAAAATGGACGTCCAAAATTTGGTATCAAAACGGTTTGTAGAAAAAATTTTAAAATAAAACAGTGTAACAACGTGACAATGTGATTGGAACGATCACATCCCTATATTAAAAAATGGATAGTTGAATAAAAAGCAGGATAGAACCTCTATGTTGTAAGGGAACAAGGTTTGCTTTCCTTATAAAAACAAATGGTAGAGCGAGAGATAAGATTTTGAGACTAAGATTACGGTCGCGGTGGCAGCACCACATCAGTTTTAGGCTTTAGCTATCGGTTAAGGTTTTCATTCCCACTTAGGCATTCAAAAACCACTTACTATTTTCTGGAAACGAGTGGTAGCACGTATTCCCCACTGATCTATGAAAATAAAAAATAAAAGAGAGAAGTCATCAGAATATAAAAAGAAAATAAAAAATCACATTATATTTTTGTTATCCTATGATATATATTATGGAATTCAGCTTAATGGGTACAACTTAACGGAAAGAGTTGAGCAACAAGCTCTACAAACGTCGAGCCACATGCTCCTCGTACATAGAACCAACATACTGGTTTTAGTGTAAGCTAAGATGAAGTGATGGTGTTTTATTCATTCATGGGGACCTAAAAGCCACCTTCTCCATCACCATCACCATCACCACCACCACCTCCAACTCCACCTCCGCCGCCCTTTCCAAAACCTCCACCTACTCCGCCACCCTTTCCAAATCCTCCACCGATACCACCGCCAGCACCACCTCCAGCTCCACTACCTCCACCAATTCCACCGCCAACTCCGCCACCTTTACCTCCACCAAATCCAACGCCACCACCAGAACCACCACCAAAACCACCACCTAAACCACCGCCGGCTCCACCACCACCACCCTTACCTCCACCAATGCCGATGCCACCGCCAGAGCCTCCACCACCTCCAACTCCACCGCCAACTCCGCCACCTTTACCTCCACCCAATCCGGCACCACCGCCAGAACCACCACCTAAACCTCCTCCACCTCCAGCTCCACCACCTCCGCCAACTCCACCGCCAATTCCTCCACCCTTACCTCCACCAAATCCTCCACCCTTACCGCCACCTAATCCACCACCACCTCCTAAGCCTCCACCTCCTCCTGCTCCAGCACCTCCACCAACTCCACCGCCACCTCCTGAGCCGCCACCCAAGCCTCCACCTCCTCCAGCTCCACCACCGCTTCCAACTCCACCGCCAACTCCTCCACCTTTGCCTCCACCAAATCCGGCACCACCTCCAGAGCCACCACCTAACCCTCCACCACCACCTCCAGCTCCACCACCTTTACCTCCACCAAATCCGACGCCACCTCCAGAGCCACCACCCAACCCTCCACCACCTCCTAAACCTCCACCTCCACCAACTCCTCCACCTTTACCTCCACCAAATCCAGCACCACCACCAGAGCCGCCACCTAAACCTCCACCTCCTCCAGCTCCTCCACCGAATCCTCCTCCTGCTCCTCCACCCTTGCCTCCACCAAATCCAGCGCCACCTCCAGCTCCAGCTCCACCACCAGCACCTCCACCAAAACCTCCACCCTTCCCTCCTCCAAATCCACTGCCACCGCCAACTCCAGCACCAGCACCTAAGCCTCCACCAAGACCATCATCGTCATCATCATCGAAGGTCTGATCCTTAAGCTTGCGACCCTCAGCAAACACCAGCATGCATAAGAGAACCACTCCCAGTGAGAGGGCCACTAGAGCACCATTGCTTCTCCTCATCAACCTCGCCATCTTCTCAGTGAACACTTTGAACGTGCACACTTATGCACTAGCCACTGCGCATGAGGCCTATATATATAGGAGATTGGCGTAGGTATAGAGATTAATGCATGTGGTTGAGGAGGAGGCCATAATTCCTATATTTCCACAATGAGGGTAGACATTTGGTCAACCTAAAAGGATCACAGCCAGGACGCCTCATTCTTATGCCGGTGCATTCATTTCACTTCTCAACTCTCAACTGTTCTTCTCTACCCCACCTCACTCTCTCTACATGTTAACCTTGTTAGAAGCGTATTAAATTATACCTTACCAACATTTTTGTTTCTCTCTAGGAGTGACCTAGGCACATTTGGATATTAACCTAGTTGGGAAATGTATTAAATCACAATGGACCAAAACTAATCTCTCTCTCTCTTATTTTTATTTATTTATTTATTATTTATTTTTTCTTTTGACAATATTCAATATTATTATTAATCAATCATGAAATTACAACACTTAGCTCACAATAACACAGTTGCATCATCAGAAATAGCTAAACCCAAACCTGTCTGAGTTCCTATGAAATTTTTTGTTCCTTTCTTACACCATCTAATGGTATTTAAAAAAGAAAAAAGTTTATATAGAGCAGAGGCTCTAAACAAGAGCCTACCTCAAAAATTTCACTAGAAGATATGTTTTGATGCTCAAATATCTTCAAATTCATCATCTCGATATCAAGATGCATGGACATGATAAAAAAATAGAATTCAAGTTTTGGAAATAATGTATTTTGTAACACACTTTTGGATTGTCAAATTTCAAGATTTTCAAGTTTTCATAGATCTCTCGATCTACATTATTTTTGAAACTTTAAACTTTATACATAACGATGAAAATATATTTTAAGGTTATCAAAAAGATTTCCGGTATTGAAATCATACTTCTGGGCACTATTTGAAGGTAGGCTCTAATTTGATTATTTAGAGCTCTATACAAACCTCACCCTTTAAAAAATCATCCTCCAATATAAATAAAAAACCCGGTTTCTTATCTCTTATAATCTTCAGACCTTGCAATGAATCTCTCTCTCAAAAATGTATTAAACCACACTGGACCAAAACTACTCTCACACACACTCTCTCTCTCTTTATCTTTGACACATAGACACAGACATGGTGGTAATTTAGCATTGAGAGATTTACACATGGGTATGAGGTCTCCAACTTATATCCTACAAGTAAGGCACATTTTCAAATTTTGCATAAAGATATAGTTTCAGTGTTGGAAGACTTTTAATGGTTTGAGAGTTTATGTTCAATTCTAATTATGACATTTAAAATTTTACAATTAGTGCAAGTTGAGTAGATAACTAAACATGTGAAAATTTTGAAAATAGACGGTCAAGATAACTTGTTACAAGATGCACTATTTTTAGGATCTGAAATTCTTTTTTTTCTTTGAATCTATAAATCTTGAGGACAAGATCATCAAATTGGAAGATTTTCCAACTTCCAAACAATTTTTTTTCTGGATTTTCGAAGTGCACTTTACTTTTACAATATAATTTGCAACCTTGTAAACGTTTTCCTTTACGTATCAACCTTGATGGGAGGGAATTAAATTTCATTGGGCCGAAATTAAGATCAAATCTCGTTGCATTTATTGATAAGCGTCATAGGAAAAGGATTTGGGGTGGCAAAGAGTGGCACTTTCAGTGCGAGAGTCTAAGCATTACACCCCATAAAATAAAATTTTAAGAGATGCCGGTTGCGGCAAGTCGGTGAGGGCCTTGTTGGTTTGTTTTTTTCTTTTTTAATAGCAAATATTATGGAGCTTATTAATAATAAAAGGGTGTGGTTTCTAAAAGGTTGCAACCTTACACAATCCAATTAAGGCGCACCTCCAAATTCTACCCTAACATGTAATTTGGGTGAAAAACATTATTAGGATTATCTCAAATATATTTTCATACCTAATTATAAAATTTTAAACTCCGAAAATGGTTAAAATTAAGTAAAACTTTAAATATATGACAATCTTGAAAATGGACGGTTTAGATAATGTATTATAAGATGCATTATTTTTTAGACTTAAAATATTTTTTTGTTTTTTATATTCATACATCTCGATGTTGAGGTGATCAATTGGAGGTTTTTTCAACATTAAAATAACCTTTTCTAATGGATTTTTGAGATGCGTATGTAACATTTTAAAATTGCAACCTTATATAAACTTTTTTCATAATAAAATCGTTTGACATATATATATATATATATTTAGAGAGAGAGAGAGAGGGGATCCTATCAGCCCAAGGGCCTGCGGCTACAGTAAATACCAACGGCCCAGATTGAATCTGCGCCGATCTGATGATCCTGAATGTTCGGTAGTGTTTGAATTTTAATTTTTTTTTACAAATCGGATTGATCTAAAATTTAGAGGGTATGTACATAAAAAATAGGTGAATCTTCGAAAAAATATAAAAAAATATTTTACATGAAAAATATTGACCAAAATAACCCTATAATTAGGGGATATTTTGTTCAATTTTTTTGCTGATTATTTTTTTTATATTCTTGATGAGAAAAATATATATCTAAAATTTCAAGTGATTTGGATTTATAGAAAAAAAAATTAAAATTCATACACAAAAAGATGTCGTGACTTACAGATTGGCCCAGATTCAATCTAGGCCATTGACGTTTACTATAGCGGTCAGCTAGTGGGCATACAAAATCCACTCTTATATATATATATCACTACAACTAATTAGTAATGGGAAAGGTTTATATAAAGCCGCGGCTCTAAACAATCAAATTAGAGCCTACCTAAAAATTTTTACTAGAAGATGTTCTTTTGATGCCTAAATATCCACAAATTGATAATCTTGAAATCAAGATGAGAAAGAAATGGATTTCAAATTTTGGGAATAGTGTACATTGTAACGTATTTTTTGACCGTCAATTTTCAAGATTTTAAACTTCTCATAGATCTATCGATCTACATTATTTTTGAAGCTTTAAACTTTATAAATAAAGTTGAAAGTATATTTTAAAGCTAAAATAAAGATTTCCAGTATTGAAACTACGTTTCTTGATACTATTTGAAGGTACGTTCTAATTTGATTGTTTAGAGCCTAGGCTCTATACAAACCGCACCCATTAGTAATAGTCAAATAATGCGTTACAAGCTGTACTATATTTAGGGCTAGAAAAAAATTTTTTTTTTTTTTTTTTTCTCGTATCCATACAACTCCCAAGTCTATGAAGTATGAACAATTGGAGAATATTTCAATATCCATACAATTGCATTTGCGCTCGTTTCCAAGAGGAAACTAGGACCGAAGAGTAAAAAGGATAAAGGATTAGCACCTAGCGAAAGAACTCCAGGAACGGGTCCACTTTCTTTTTTCTTTACCTCATGTAACTTCTCATATATTAAATCAGTGCTTCAAACCACGACTTGGGCCGAGTACTCAGCCCAAGCCCCAATCCGAGTAACTAGGCCAGGGCAATGTAGTAGAAGAAAAAAATCACAAAAAATAGAAAAATACATTTAAAGTTAAATTAGCTGAAACACATTTAAATAAGATTAAAAATCTAGCAAAAATTAGAGTTTGAAAAAAAACAATGTTGTGGGATTATAAAAAACAATCTAAAAAAAAAGGAAAATACAAAAATAAATATTGATAGCCAAAACACTTTCCAATCTTTGTCAAAATGAGAGAAAACATAGAAAAAAACACATATCACAAATAAATTATTTATTTTTGGGGGATTTTTATGATTTTGTTGAACTTCTTTTAATATCCCCAAGTGGGACACCCAACTCGGGGATACTCAAGCTCGAGTACTCCGAACTCGGACCGAGCAGTCGAATAGTGGATTAAATCATCTTGAACAATTTTTGGTCGAGCTCGCAACAGCCCAGCTACTGTGACCAAATTTGTTCTTTTTCTCTGCTAAAAAGGTACACAGACAGAGTTTATTTCACATGCCAAAAGATGCGAGCTTTGACTCTGAAATCATCATAATTCAACAAAAGATACGATGTACATGTGCACAAAGAAAACCAATCTTCTTTTATAGGTGAGCTCTATTTATTAGTAGAAATCCAAACACCGACATTATTTTTGCAATAGTTGTCATTCCCGGTGAATAATCTTCTGCATCGAAATATTCAGGCATGAATATATTTTCTGATCTCTAAGGAACCAAGTGACTCAAATTATAGCTGCTAAAACACTAATATTTTCATTTAGTAATCTTCTGATCCATATTTTGCCTTTCTCAGCTAAAGAAACATGGATAAAATATGTCTTTATAGCAATAAGATAGCAAGTATTACTCAGCACAAAAAAACAGAGCACATCTTAATCAGATGGGTTTGGGTTTTGTTAAGCTACACCATATCCTTAAAGTCCTCAATATTTTTTTACATTTAAATACCCTTGAATTGTAATATGAAAATTTTCAAATAGGGGCATTTTGGTCATTAGAAAAGTAGAATAGATATTTCAAAAAAAAAATAGTGGCAGTAGTTAAAAAACAATTAAGCCATCTTGAGGGTATCCACTATTGTTCATTTTGTTTTTATTCGAAATTTATATTTTACCCTTGACTAATTACTTAAAATAGCCCTAGACAAAAAGTCACTACACTATAAGATCGATAAAGGTATCTAAGTGTCAAAAAAAAATGTTGAGGACTTTAAAAGTATATACTACCAAGTGGTATAGCCTAACAAAACCCTAATCAGATTGCATGATTTAAATCTCTCTCAAATTTCAAATTTTACATGGTAATTTGATGCTCCAAATTTCACAAACACCAACCATTCATGGAATTACCAGATACATTCTTCCATGATAATTTGCACTCACATAAATGCACATGTGGTGCCAACTGATTTAAATGACTAGGAAAGCTACATAGACCCATTTGAAGCACGAAACGTGTGACCCTTTGTTATGATTTTCAGTATCACTTGGAAAGCAACAGGGACCGGTTTGAAGCACAAGACGTGTCGTTTTCATTTATCAGAGAAAAAAAGCCGGATTCATTTAAGATCGTAACATTCACTCTACATTTAGTGGTTGCCCATTAACCTGAAATACAATGATAGCTTCAATATGTACCCTTTGCTAGGACAGGGTGTAGCACTTGACAGGGCCTACTAAGGAAAGGGCTTCTTCAAGTGCCTCCACTAAATAATCTGGGTACCTCTCAATATGGGCAGGCCCTTCCTCAGACTGCATCTTGTTTAAGACCCTCCCCACAATCTAAGGCAAGGCAAGGCATACTTAGATTAGAAGAGATGCATTGAGACCCATAACTAGTTTGTTGAAAAGATGGTAAGTAAACTGAACAATTTCATTAAAAAAAATAAAAAATTAAAAAAGATAGCAAGGAAACTATACAATAAGCAATGGGAACTACCGTAAGGGTAAATTCAATGCATGCTTGGGTATTAACAGAAAGTCTACAAGAGGATGCTACTGATACTGAAAAGGTAGCACTAAAATATACCACAAATTGAACAGATTTCAAATAACTATAGCCCATCAATTCATTTTCTGTCCCTTGAAATGATGGAGAGTGGGACCATCTATAGCATGACATGATGCCAATGATGCGTCCCACAATCCCCATCACCGTCCATTATCTGAAGGGCAAGGATGACTCAATGGAGTCCCGTAGTCCATAGGATAATTGTATACTTTCTGAAAAGTAAATGAGTAGGATAAAATACCTTTCGGGCATACCCTCCATAAGCCACCCCACCAATTGAAGCATACGGCCAACCAGAGAACCTTTCAGCTTGATGAACATCATTCCCATCCTCTATCAAAAAGGAAGATAAATGGTCAGTTATTCCAGCATTTGGCATGGAAAAGATGTGCATAAGCATATGCACGGCTGAGTTTAAGTTCATGGATGTATGCACAATAAAAAAGCCCTGTATGCCTATGCTCAAAGAACCAGATACATCTCATGGAAACACCTTGACTTCAGAGGCAACACACTTGGCTGCATGGCCTCAAGGATGGGAAGCAGAGGAGGGAAATTTAGAGAAATTGAGCCAGAAATCTTAAAGGAAACTGAAAATGCAAACTAAATGGGAAGTTCTTGGGAAAAGAAAGAAAATGGGATTGCGGCAAAACATCGAAAAGTCAAAAGGCAAACACAGCAAACATTCCAGTGAAAACATAAATATATATGTGCATACATGTAAATTTATGCATGTATCTGTGTACGGGGAGCATGCAACATATCAAGGGAAGATAAGTTTCCCCAACAGTTACCCTGATGAAACCACTTCCCAAATGGGTAAAATGCATTTAGGATTTGCTTAACCTAGGGGAAAAAAAGAAGGAAGGGGGGGGGGGAGGGGTGGGGCCGCAAGACCTTTTTTTGGTAACTGTGGTTAAAAGATTTTTACAGGACTAGCAGTCATTTTCAGCCAAAAAATAAATTATTATAAAAAGGATCAGAAACAAAAATTAGATGGATAAAAATAGGACAAATAATACCTTGGATATTAGGAGTCTGAAAAAGCCCAGCTTCCTTCAAACCACCCACCGTATGGAAATTTGTTCCACCAGCTAATTGCAGGAATCCTTGCACAAGAAATATGTTTTTCTGGTAATGAATAAATAATTTAAATGTTATCCTCAAAATAAAGCAATATAGTCTAATAGGATCAACAATTATATAGAAATTTCATCCTAACAGCATACCATGAGGTTTGTCTTTTATTGAAGACATACGAGCAGCAAAGGCAATTGCATCCCTTGTTGCACCTCTTCCAATGTCACCACTCATTGGCCGCCCATCGAGCTGGGAGAGGCCATCATCATCCAAAAACAGTAAATAATGTTAACAAGATTTGACAATTGGAGAAATATTTATGTTTAGAAATACTACTTAAAAGAACAGGTTCAGTTGGTATGTGATATTCTGAAGGGACCTCCAATGTTCGTTTCCAAAGATGGATCGTGGAGATTCGTTCTAACTTAGTAATGACCCAGTTGGTGCCACTACAATTAATCTCCACGGTTTGTCATCAGGAACAGAATGGTAGATGCCTGTCCCATACTCCACTATGTGATCTTAGAATTTCCAGATCAAAACTCCCATGTAACAGAAAATCTGATGAGCTCAGTCTGGAGACTGACATCGATATATGTATGACATATACATGCCAGCATGATTTGGAACCCAGTCTGACCCTATTGGAAACTATTACTTTTGGTGGTGGAAATGCCAAAATATAATTACCATAAATAAGGAAATGAGCAAACTTTGGATGAAAGAATAATGAAACAAACACTTGTTTTTCTCTGAAAGAAAAGAAAATTAGTAAAGATTCAGTCCCCCTACTTTAAGAGGTGCACACACAACTGCCCTCAAAATTGAGAATTAACACGAAAGCTCCACGGCTAAGAAAAGTTCCTCTAGATTTTCTCTATTAAATTCCCACATGAAACATTGTCTAGAGGGTTTCTTTTTGTTGGAAAGGGGGTTACTGCCAAATTTACATCTACAGTGTAAACAAAAGTTCATTATGTTGTTTTCCAGTTGACTGTTCTTTAAACTATAATTCAGCATCTCAAATACAGTCGAACAAAATGATCATGCATGGAGATTAATTACTGTATAAAGCCACTATGATGGTACTAAAATTCAAAACTTCATTTAAAAGAGTTTCAAAAACAAAAACCTGTTAAACTGGAAATGAATAATGGAGACAAAAGATCAAGAGGCACCTGCCATAAATTATAGCACTTCAGGAATGGATTCATAATTGTGTACATTTTATTCATCGCATCTACAGTCGATTCCCCCAAATCTGGTAAGCTAACCTGTATTACATCCTAAAAAGTCATAAACGGAAAGTACTTATAAGATATAATTTAAGAATTACTTACCATATCAAAGTACAATGCTTACCAAGAAAAATAAAAAAAGAAGGGCCAATTCAGTCCCTGAGATCCAATTGTACTTGTATGCAATGAATAAGAACATTAAAAATCATGTTAACTTGTATATTGTCACGTGTGCTCATTCTAAGAACAAAAAGAATTTAAATTTTTTCTTTCTTACTTCTTGATCATAAAAGAAATGACCCTTTCTACTAAAGGCTTAGCCAATAGAACATTTAGAGAGACACAAAATAAAAAAACGAAAAGGAAAGTCCAGTGCAAGCTAAACTTTTAGAGATGGCTACCAATTGCAAAGAGATTGATTTGTGAATGCTTACTGCTACTAGATTCAAATGACCCACAAAATCTGCCAAGCTGTTCCAAAGCTTCTCAAAAGAGTTGATTTCCCTGTAAAATATCATCAACAGCTTCTATTTACCCCAAAACAAAGAAAAATAGAGTTTCAGGGAGCATAATTGAGTCAAAAGAAAACATACAGAGTAAACACATAAATAATCCTTATTACATTCTTTCTAGCAATGAAAGCAATTCTTGCCTACCTTGCACTTGTGTGTATCTCAATGGCATCGACATTGTTTCTCTTCAAAAGCTCAGCTGTAGCTGTGGGGCATCTGACATATGTGTTTGATCCTGAGAGTATCTAGAGACTTAATCACTCACTCCAAATATGTCACCACTTCCCAAAAGCTGGAAGGGTAGAGTTACAAATACAATTCTACGGACGACAACAGAAAAAAGATCATGGTTATGCACCAATAATTTGAGTATAGACGAAGTTGTCAGATTGAAAAGCTATTTATATACTGAGGTGACAATAAGTAATTGTAGTCATAATGCCTTTTGAATTCTAAGGGAATAATGGAGCTGTTCTGAGGAGGCCATGCTAATGATTTGGAACATTTTGCCTGCTCTTCTATGTGCCAAGAAGGTATTTCTTTTATTATATGCCCCAAAGGGAATCTTCATCTTCTATTAGTTTTTCATGGAACATATCTACCATATCTAATTCATTTCGCCTAAATAGGAATTGCTTTCATTCAAGAGTTCCACTCAAAAAGGATTCATGGGGTGTCAATGGTTTGAACAGCAAGATTATGTTTTCACACTTACAAATTATTCCTGTACGATAAACAGGTTGAACCCAAATATAAAAATGATGATTTTACAGAAGCAAGAAAGAACTAGATCAATGCAGAAAGGAAGTTTACTACACCCCAATGGATTTTGGAAAACCATATTCCAATGGGGTCATCACCGTTGAGTGAAATTGTGAAGGGTGATGCATAGTGCGACCAACCAAGAACAAAACATGATCCCATACGGTGGGTCCCACTACGGTAATGATCCTGATTGCTATGGTTTTCCGTAGTCAATTATATTATTGTACACTATCCATTGTAGAAAAAAGGTAACAAGTAGTAAAAACATAAGAGACTGCCCCAAAAAAAGAGAAATGAAAACAACATGTAATTTACATTTAATAGATGCAAGAAGGGGTCCAGAACATCATATACTGACTGATTTTGTCATATGGGCAAACTGGAAAGCAACGCCCACAACCATAGCATCTCCCACGTATAACTCCACCCTACAAAACATGTAAACAAACCATACCAGAAAAATGGAAATAAATATGGAGGACCAATAATGAATAAAGTGCTTGGTAATTCTCCAACAATTCTTACTTAGAATCATCAAAGAAAGGAAAGACTCCATAAATTTAATCAAAATAGGCTATTGAAATCACCTCGAGTTTACTACTAGAAGCAATCTCCAAAGGAAGTCCTTCATCGCTTGTTACTCTCTGCAATGTTATAGCATCAGCAGGGCAAACCTTCTCACATGGCCTCGAACAATTCGGTGGGCATTCCGATGGATCGAATTCTGAGAAATCAAATTTTCATTCCTTTGAAGCACATACCAAAGGCATAAAAAACCAGCTGAAATGGTAAATGGTAAATTGGAAAGTGAACAAGTTTTATTTCCATACTAGTGAAGCAAAAACTATATGCCCTTTGTCTAGAATATCACCAAGCAAATAATAACTCATACAGCTGAAATCATGAGAAAAGAAGTTTAACCAATTGGCTATTTTAAGTGCAAAAAGTATAATGTTTGAAACATCCACAAAAAGGACAAGAAATGGAATTCAATAATCTTTTATCATAGTATGGAAAAATCAATACAATTAAGAATTATTTGATGTAAACAGTCCCCAAAAAACCAATTATCACTCTTCTCAAGCAGAAACCAAACATAAAAGAAAAATTGATATATACCAGCCTTGCGAAAGTGAAGATCCACATCATCATTCACGCTAATCATTATCCAAGGACTCCTTAGTGAAACAATGTCTTTCGCAACCGAAATTCCTTCATTAACAGCATTCACAATAGAAGCATCGGCCGCACAATCTATGCAATCAACTGCAATCAACAATAGGGAAAAGTTGAACCCAGAAAAAAGTTAATACAGCTTTGATAAATTTTTTAATGGGCGGTAAAGAAAGATTGAGTTTGTAAATTTGCTATGAGAAAAATCTTGTTCAATAGTTTTAATCCAAAAAGGAAAGATGCAGAGACATTCAAACTCCACTGGTTAAAACTGAAGCAGCGTTATATCGTACTAAATTTTTCATTATTTCCTTATGCATTTCCATGACTTCTATAAGCTCACATTTGGGTTTCTCCCAAAACATTGTGTCATCTGATGAACTATCATCATAAGACTAAATTCTTCACTGGGTTTGTTGGAACCCCTAAGTCTAGTGGTCTTCCTCTTCTCTGTGTGTGTAAGCGAGAGAGAGAGAGAGAGAGAGAGAGAGAGAGAGAGCTCACCTCCAGCAAGAGTGTAGACGAGGGACAGATTCCTGATATCAGCAACATCCTATGATTTGCAGAACCCAATTCAACACACAGTCAGTTTTAAATGACCACAAATCATTGTGAACAAAATACCAAAAGGAGAAAAAAAAAAATTGGGAGAAGAAACCAGTTATCTATGTTTACCTCAAAGCTAGCCCCACAAATGAGCTTAACCCAATTCCCCTTTTTCAAAGAATCCACGGGATAACATACAGATGAAGAGACCCCTGATTTCTCCACCATTTCTTTTATCTTCCTCCACTTATGGCCTTTGTCTCTCCCTGAACGACGTATTGTATAGAGAGTTAAACACGAGAGAGAGAGAGAGAGAGAGAGAGAGAGAGAGAGAGAAGTAGACTCAATCAAGAGAGAGTGCTCAAACCTTGAGTAAGAGAGAGAGAAGGAGAAGCAGTGCAAAAGGTGAGGAGCGACATGATGCGAGCGAGGTGGGGAGAGAGGAGTTGCCGCTGCCCCTAAAATGAAAAACAATCCAAAAGAAGGGGAGGCTTCAAACAGTGTTGGGAAATTTGGTTTCAATACTCGGAAAAAATTTATATAAGGTGAAATGTACAACTACATGTTTTTTAATGTTGAAAAAACCCTCTAATAAATTATCTCAAAATATGAAATTTTTTTTTTTTGGGGTCTCTTAAATAGTCATCTTCCCCCACATTATTTAGATCATTCATTTTCAAGATTTTCTTATATTTATAGATCTACTTGATTTTAAATATTTTTAAAATTCAAAATTTTATATAGTTGGATTTTGAGATAATCCTGAGAGTTTTTTAAGGAGCGCCACAGAAGAAGAGGAAGAGAGAGCAAGAGAAGAATAACTTTTCAAGAATTTAGATAACATGATGATTAAGAAAAAGAAAAAGATAAATTTCATAATTTAGACAATAAAAAAAGTTAGGATGGATTAAACTTTTTTTAAAAAAAATTGGGTTCTATGGGCTTTTAAAGGAAAATTAAGTTTGAGGGTCTAAACGGTCAAGTTAGAGTGCACATAAAAAGAGGTCAATTTGATGCTTAAATATCCTCAAATTGATCATCTCGACCTCAAAATGCATGAACATGAAAAAAAAAAAAAAAATTCAAGTTATAAAAATAGTACATATTATAATTTATATTTAGAATTTAAAATTTTATATTTAGATTTAAAAATAAATATTTAAAATTATTTAAAATTTATTTACACCAAAATTACATGAAAAATTTTGGAGGTGCTTCATAATTGGATTGTTAGTTGCAATCTTATAGAAACTAAACCACCCTTCGAGGGAGCTAAACGTCTTCCTTTTGGCTTTGGGGGGCTTTTTATAAGATCATGAGGTTAATTAGAATAATTATAGAAGGAGGGGTTATGCGTCTTTTTCGACCAAGAAGATTCATATTGTTATGACAAGAAGCGTGGTACACCTAAAAATTATATACGAAAATGCTGTCTCACATAGAAAATTCTACAATGTTATTTGGACCTCAAAATGTATATAGATATGAAACAAAAAGATTTAAAGTCTTAGGAATAGTACATCTTGCAATACAATATTTAGACTATCTACTTTCAAAAAAATTTAAAAATTTAAAATATTTAAGCGGTCCAATTTCAAAATTTGCACCACTTTCGAGCTTTAAATTTCACGATTAGGGGTAAAAATAATTTTTTAGAACATCATAAGGGTTTGTAATAAGAGAGCTACAAACAAGATTTAGATGTGTGCCTTACTTTGATTGTTTTAAGGTAGAGATATATTGTATAAACCGCGCCCAATTTTTAATTACTTGAAAATATAAAAATAAGGTTGACGTTTATATAAAGCATCAACCTTCAACAATCAAAATAAAGCACAAATCAAAACCACATCGAAAGATTCCGCTTGGGTGCCAAAAAATCTATGATAGCATGAAAATCTATTGTGACCCCTAATTTTGAAATTTAAAGTTTCAAAAATAATCCAAATTGAGTATATATGTAAAGAACTAAAATTTTTGAAAATGGATGGTCCAAGTACTAATTTTATGGCTTGAAATCATTGTTTCATATATATATTTATATAAGATTTTGTTCGGCTGCACCACTTGTGATGTATACCCTTAAAAGTCCTCAATATTTTTGGATACTTAAATACCTTCGAATCATAATACTAAATTTTCAAGTAGAGGCATTATCATTTAGAAGGGTCGAATGGATATTTTTATAAAACAAACAGTGACATTCTATTAATAGTTAAAACACGATTAATGCATCTTGAGGGTGATGTCATGCACCATTGCATCTTGATGGTGATGTCACATACGATGTCAAAGTCAATAAAGGTACCTTGAGGGTGATGTCACACACCGTGTTAGTGATTTCATTATCCATTATAGTTAATAAATATTTTTGTTTCTATTAAAACTTTCTATTTTACCTTTGACTAATTACGTAAAATATCTTTAGACAAAAAGTTACTACACAATAGAAGAAAAATATCTAAGTGTCCAAAAATATTTGAGGACTTTAAATGTATACATTAGCCAGTGGTGTAGCCAAACAAAACCTATGTAGCCTAACAAAACCCATATATTTGCATCTCGAAGTAGAATAATATTTTCCGATGAGTTTTTGAGATATGCATTATTTCAATACTATAAAATAGACATTTTATATATGCTTTTTCCTAAAAAGACTACTGCAATACTATCCGGATTGGCAAAGAGAACCGCTAGTTCGAATCGACCCGGTTGGTTCACAAGGCCGGTCCAAGTCCTTAAACACACAAAAATTAGGGGTACTTTATTATGATATAAGCATCACACCACAGTAATGATATATGTCAACTTCACCATCCATATTCACAAATGGCGGTCTCTTCCTCCTAATATCATTATTTCAAGAGAAAAATCTTTTCTATTCGTCTCTTAGTACGGACAGCACAAATTAACATCCTCGGGGCAAATAGGGCTCACATGTTTTGAAGATAGAATTTTGCGAAAATTAATACCTTAATAAAGTTTTCATATTTCAAGGTTGATGAATAGAGCATACATCAAATTAGAGTGTACGGAGAAATTTTTCCTATGATATATCTATCATAGCAAATATATCGTAACAAATAATACCATGGCGAGCAATCACTAAAAATCATAATACAGCCATTACTGCGTAATGCTATGAAACTTAAGCTTGTTTGCCTTGTACATCGGTTTTTTATGAAAGTGAACACTAATTGTAACATGAATAAAAAAGCGAACTTTAAGATTTTTTTTATTAAATAAACATTAATATATTTTATATTTGATACAAGAAAGTCACAATTATCCTACTATGATCAGAAGTGAAATAAAAATTTAAGGCATCATAAATGTTGCGTTCAAATTTCGAAAAACCTTTTCCTAGATTTTGTGTTAAGAAAATACGCATACCTAACTAAGTGATTTTACATTTGGCAGTAAAGAGGTAGTTGTAAACTTCTTGTACCAAAGATAAAAAGTCTTATAAAATCCATTTTTGTTCTTATGCTGATTACTTTTGCAAAATCTATATGGAAAAATGAATGATAACAAGTGTTTATATTGCGCAGGACCTTAATCATCAAAAGCTGATGGACTTAGAGAGGGGGACTGAAGTCCAATGTTTTACAATGATTACATCAAATGGTTGTGTGCTGTGTACTGTCATTCAGAAGCAAATCTAAGGGAATTTGGATGTTGGATAAAAAACCAATAAACATATTGCAAGTTTTTTCTTCCTGAATTGGAAAATCTTGTCATTTTATTTTAATGTGCCGGTAGACTATAAAATGGACACGGTTTCTATTCGCCCAGCCCGCATACTGTAGAAATGTGGCCTAGGCAATAAATATATTTTTTAAATATAATTTGATTATGATTTGTAGATAATGTATGAAGATCATGAATATAAAAAAATTTAAAAATTTAAAAATTTAAAAATTTAAAAATTTAAAAATTTAAAAAAATAATTATATTAGGAAAACGTTTGTACATTACTTATACTTGTTTTCAGATGGACCACCTACCTATTTGCATTTATCGTTACGATGGATGCTCTATTCCTCTGGACCGCATGTTGTAGAAATGCAATCCAGTTCGCATGAAATAATTTTCCCTGTAAAAGTGTTGTAAATATCTTCTATTCCCTATATATGTATGTTAGGCTACTTTGCAATAACTTTTGGCTGGATAGATCTCATGATTTTATTTTTTCTTTATACGTCTTATCAAAAGTTTTACCAACCTTGTTAACCCTTTACATGTGTCGTCAAACATATGCCATGGAAAAATGATGTCAAAAAATGGGTAGAAATTTGAATAGGAAAATGAGATGCAACATAGTTAGCAGCACAAATATTATACTAAATTCAATAATAAATAAAGGATTTCTTATTAAAGACCATTTGAGAAATAAAATTAATATATTTGGCTTTTCTTTATGTTAAGGGATCGATAAATCTAATGGCAAATACACCAAATTTGATTATTATTCAATCAGATAGACCGAGCTACTTATTAATTTTCTTGATAATAGACCAAATTTCAAATTTAAACTTAAGATTTGATATGCATAAATTTTTTCAGAAAAATCCCATTTTCCACGTCTCCTTTTCAAAGATTTAGTGTTTCCTTTACAGAAAACTTACCAAGTGATTGAAATTCTCACCATTCAATATGCATCAAAGATACAAGATGCATAACTCTTTTAACTAGATACCCCTCCAACCAGATATAGATATCTCTCTACCATTGAGATATACATGAATCTTGTTCCACCATTCCATTCTATCAAGGGTTATAGCCTTATTTTGACTACATGCACACACATATCATCATTATCATTATCATCCCAGCCTTATCTCAACTATTTGGGATCAGTTATATGAGTCATGTTCTGCCATTTTGCTCTATCACATGCTATATCATCTTACTCAAATTTGCTATATTTGTGTATTTTTTAAAAATTAATGGATTAATAATTTCATCAAATATCCATATAAAATTTCATAAAATATCCATCTAAAATTTAAAGCATATTGACTATACCAATTTTAATGCAAAACAAGCCTAACTTACGATGTAATAGTCTTTTGAGAAACAGTTTACAATGTGGTGTTAAGTTGTTCTACACGGGCAAAGCTGTGAAGCTCCAAAAAAAAATGAGCATCACATAATAATAATATGAGTGCCAATAATAAGATCATTAGCAGTTCTTTGTTAGGCACTGGCTTATTATAAGCAGACATATCGGTTTCGGTGGAGGGTTCAGAGTCGGATCATAGTTCATACTTCATACACTATACTTCATACACTGTGATCATAGTAGAAGAATGATCTTGCAGAAACCTGATCTATGAACTAGTCATCGGATTATATTTTCATCGATGTGAGCAATTGGGTCGTTCGAAAACTACTGATGATGCCAAATCTCTACTAAGAAATCAAATAACACCTTACGAATATGATCCAATAGCTAAGGTAGAGGGTCAATCTATCCTTCTAACTTAGAAAATAAATTCACAAGATC